TATCCCAATGCCTAGCTAGGGGTTGGGACTGTTGGTATAGATGCTGCTGGCAGCTCCGTGTTTGTTGGCCCACTATGTTATTCAGAGTTGAAAACCGTGACGGTGACCGGCTTGGGGCCGGTTCAATCGAAGGGTCAATGGCCTCTATAGAAATGAATTTTTGACAAGCAATATAAATAAGTTAGAGTGTGCTAATTCACGCCGATAGCGCCCCAGCAGTAAGCCTACTATATAGGGTTTACTTAAGCCTTACTTAGACGAGACATCCGCGTCGTCATAGCCGCGCTGCGAAAGTGTGTTCACTTCCCCAAGCAAAAGACCGCATTTACTAACCACCGCCGCCGTCGACCGGACAAGCATCCACCACCCCATACCGCCTCCTGCCAAACCATCTTCCACGGTACGCAAGGACCATGTCGGGCTCAGATTCGTCTTCCCTGTCGTCTCCTCCGTCCACAGATGATGAGACCATCGCCGCGTCTGTCCACCGCAGCATTGGCTTGGAAAAGTACTTCAAACCCAAGACGCCCGCCAAAGCCGCCTCTCCTCCGCCGCCAAAACGTGCCCCTTCGCCGCCACATGAATATGTGCTCGCGGACAATCCAGACATTGCGGTAAGTAATGTGAAGTCTACCCGATCTTATTGAGCCCTGATATGCAGATTTAACGCGTGTTTTGTCTTGCAATCCCAAATGTCCAAAAAACTACGCGATATGCTGAAAGTGGTATATTTTTTTTTGTTTAGTTCATTGTGATGTTCCGCTCCAGATTCTCCGATGTCTTTCCAAAATCACTCCCACACTACGGCCCGCAGGACATTGAGAGAGGGGTCACAGATAGTATTCCCGGAGATCATATCGAGAGATTATTGTGCGCTCTAATTGGCCTGTGCCTTAACAGGAAGAGAGATGTTGAGTATGGCTTTACTCACCCAATTTACCCTACCCCCGCTCTTTTGCCATCAGCGGGATATAGACACTACGTGCTTTTGATTGGGAATAGACCTGTCTAGAGTTAATTGGCTAATATTTATTTTTGTGTTGTAAAGAAGGGGCCATTACCAACGCGCTCTTGAGGATGTTGTCCAGACTCACTCGTCGCAATGGCCGCGATCATGGGGCGGGAAAAATCCACTTCAAGGCGGGGGAAGCTTTGCAACCATGACTCCTGATGAGCGAGTAAGATTCCCTGTTACGAAGTCACTATGCGCGATATAACTCGGGCTAAAACTATCTATCGTGGTGCAGCTTGCGTTCCTCAAAGCGTTGATACTTTGGGCACTTTCATCCTCCGACGCCGTCCAAGCAAAACTGAAAGAATCCTACAAACAAACGCGACATGATGACGATCTCAACCAGCCATTATCCGTCCAGCCATGGGGGAATGACGCCTATAAACGCCGGTATTGGCTCATTGAAGGAAGGGATGACACCCATTTCAGACTTTACCGGGAAAACAATCCCGCGTTGAAGAACAGGACGTGGTGGAGCGTTGCAGGAACTATTCCGGAACTGAAAGCCGTTGCGGATTCTCTTGCTGAGGAAAAATCACAGCACTCTAAACGGCTGAGTGAGAAGATCTATACTAGCATTCCGAGATTTGAAGGCTCTGAGGAGGTACGTACAATTCTAACACGCCATTTTTCCCCCATCCACCCCTCCTACAATTTATATAACCCTTTCCCACAATTGTATTTGGAGATTAAACTAGCTAAATATGTAATAACCAATCCATACAGAAACGAAAACGTCGGGATTATCGCCTTGCACGAAAAGCCGCCTTCGCTCGCCCGGAGCCGGGCTACTCTCTCTACGAAGGCCGAACTCGCGGCAAGAAACTGAAATACACATATTCGGACGAGGATGACGACTTCTCATCTGACACGGCCCCTACCCGGAAATCAGCTCGCCAGTCCCGCTTCTCCACCCCGAATGAACTACCCGCCGGCCCTACCTTTACCGCCAGCGGCCGGCAGGTCAAAGCGCGGGTTGGTGGACCTTATGGCGAGTCAATGCTGAGCGGTCAACGGAAAGATAGACCGCAGCTGCCGTCCTGGTCTGTCGGAGCTGGCGACGAAGAAGTGGATGGTGACGTGGAACAGCCTGTTTCCAATGGAGGGAGGCCGCGCCGGGGTACGATGGTTCGGCTATCGAATGGCGCGGGGAGCCATATTGAAGGATATAATGCGGTTGATGAGATTGACGAGGAATCGGAAGCTTCGCCGTCGAGTGGGAATGAATGGGATGGCGATGAGGATAATGATTATGGAGACGGGGATGAGGAGATGACTGATGCCGACTCTTCCAGCCATGACAGCGATGATGAGACTAGCTATGATGCTAGTCACCGGAGCTTAGTGGTCCAGCTGCGATATGGGAAGGCGAGACAGGGGTTAGAAAACAGCAGCCCCGGCCCTGCTCCCGAGACACCTACCTCCGCCGTAGGAAAAGTTTCAAGTGCAAGCATACATGGACCGTCTGGAGCAAGCGAAGAAAGACATGAACAACCGTTCGCTGTGGTTGTGCCTGTGCCACATGAAGCCACTGCGCCAGCACCAGCACCAGCACCAGCGCCAGCTGTGAAATTGTACAAACCGCCTATCATCTCTCCTGGGTCTACAGCTCCTCCCACCACAACCCCGCCGCCATCCGCAACCGGCTCAAAATATGATCCTCAAGCAACCAATGTAGAGCATCAAGTGAAAAAATCTCAAGCTTCACCTATGGATACTGATATCCCCCACAACCAAGAAAACAATCACACACTATCCAGACAGAATGGCGTTCTTCCCGGGAATCCGTAATGTGTGGCATATCTCTCGATATCGTCAGCATTTTTTTTTCTCGCCCTACTACAACTGCAGACAGGCACCTACACTCCAAATATTCCAAATATCTTCTTTCCTTTTCGGCGTCACTCTATTATTACACTCGGGGATAAAAAATCCATCCATAATTTTTTAGTATTTTTTTTTCTTTCAAATTCATAGAAGCCTGACAATGGTCTATGTTCGACCTCCCCATTTTCCAGAGGAAAGAGTCAACAATTTTTTTATACTTTGTCTTCGCCCCCTTCCCCCTTCCCCCTTATCCCCTTTCATCACTTTTCAGAGTCGATCTCTTTGTCTGATCATTCCTCCCCTTTTCCTCTACTTTCTGTATTCGTTACAACACTGTGGAAATCAAATAAAGGAAACATTTTCTTTCTTTTCTTCCGACTGGGCATAGGGATCTGGTAGTTCATATGATGGATTTTATTTAGGTAAAAATTTTCATCAATCATTCCTTCCTTTCGAGTTTATAGCTGGTTATTTTTCCGAAACTTTCTGGCTGTGGGATTTGGGATTTATCCATTTAGTTCGTCAGGCTTTTCACTTCTATCTTGTTTCGCCTTTTCTGTCTCTCTCGCTCGCTCTCTTAATTCTCTGATATATATTAAGTTTTTCCAAGTGTTTCTTGCCTCTCCTTTAACCTTCTCATCTGTTTCGCAAATTTGGCAAAAGTTCCTTCATGTAAGCAAAGGGTTTTACTTTTACTTTTAACTTTTATAACTCTCTGCTGCAAGGGTTTGATGGGTGTCAATATCAAAACATAGATTTATCAAGGAATCGATAGACCTTGCCTGAATTTCAAAGCTTCTCTCAAGCCCCAAAAATTTTCTTTTTCAACATATTTTCCGTACAATGGATATGGCTCCTTACGGGGTCTATTGCAAGGGGAGAAAACAAGTACTTGGTAGTTTCGTTAGAACAGGTGTACTTGTGCCACAATAACAGTCGAAAATTCCTACGGTAAGTTACCCATATCGAGCCTTGCAGGACGCCTATAACGCCCCAATATAGACCCCGATTGTTGGTCGGAAAAGTATTCTTCCAACTTTTGCCATGCTAACGCCCAAAATGAACCCCTTCGCTGGCGATCCCTTGGTGTCGAGTGAGGGTAGCAAATCCTATCCCCACAAAGCAAATCCTGCGTGCCGCGCCCGTTTTCCGGAATCTCAGGGTTGCAGAGCCAGAATGGTATTATTGTACAGTACATACAGCCGCCCCCCCCCCAAATGCCAGAATGTTGAATGCACATTATGACATCATATTTAATATTCGTTCATAACTCGGGTATCTTCCAGTTATTCACCTCCCACCACCATCTGCGGATCCTCGTACCCAACGTCCGTCCTTTGAATTGGGTTCCACGATTCCAATACCGCCAGCCCGCAAGTGCGAGTGTCCATAGTGTTCCTTGCATCAGAGGGAGGCAGACCTATTTCCGTCAAAAGACAAAATCAGTAAAATAGTCCCACGTGCGTGATGGGTTCGCCTCTCCGTGCCGATAATAAACCGTGATTTTTCATAATAATCAAAAAAAAAAGGTAGACATCGAAAACAGACAAAAGAAAAAAAGAAGCAATATAAAAATATATATAGGACATATATCCAGGATATATTATATTACCTGATCCCGCAACGTGATCCATGCAACCTTCTGCCATGTTTCCGCCCCCTTTAAGCTCGCCAGGTAACTCTGTTCGAAGCGCAGGTCCGGGAGCGGCGGCAGGGTGGTGCGTTGCACACGGCGTATCTCCCGGTGAGAGTCGACAATGTCTGTTGATATAGATGTGGCATCCGACGGAGAGCGGTAGTGATGGGTCTTGATGGTGACCGGCTCCTTTTGAGAGGCAGCTGTAGCCAGGCTGATGTCATGGGTTGTGGAGGGATGAGGGTTCATGGAAGCGTTTTGGATGGTTTCGAATTGGGCTGCCGAGTCTGCCATTTTCAGTTGCTGTGAGGGTTCTTGCGCATGGATTGATTGTGTATATGGCTGGTGTTGCAGCGTTGATAGAGCTCGTGTTCAGATAGGCGTAGCTACGAGCCTGCGCATGTAGTCGGCAACTCCAAGATTGAACTTCTTTTTTGCTTTTTCTCGGAACATTGATTTATTTGTGTTCTGCCAACCCCACCAAGAAATACCACCACCCTCACCAAGTATATCAATTCCTTTTCATACAAACAACAGCCCTACGTACTATCAATTGATATCTTTCACAATAGGAAATGGCTGCTACGGAAGGATATCCGCTTCTCTGCCTAGAGAATCCCCTGCTGGGTAAACCGCCGCCTACTAATTCCTGTCGAGTTTCCCTGCTAACCTGCCCCTCATTCTAGATATTCAGGGAGTCGGGTAGGTCCAACAATAGGAATTGACCTATCTCCTTTACTCTATGTTCGCCTGTGCTCTACTAAAAGCATAGTTCAGGGATGCCGCCATGCTAGAGAAATATGGTCTGAAAGCCAACGATGCCATTCTTGCAGAGGAGAAGCATATGGGTCTCTTTGAGGACCTCATCCAAAACCGAAATGCCAAGTTGATCGCAGGAGGGGCTGCGCAGAACACTGCTCGCGGTGCTCAGGTATATTGCGGAACAATACGAACAATTACTCCCCCGGTGCATTGGAAAGTCCAAGGAACTAATGGCGTCTCCAATTTAGTACATTCTTCCACCAAACTCGGTTCTTTATATCGGCTGCGTGGGCAAGGACAAGTACGCAGATATCCTCCAAGAAGCCTGCGACAAGGCCGGCCTGCGAACAGAGTATCGCGTTGACGAATCCCAACCCACCGGCCGCTGCGGTGTCATCATCACAGGCCACGAGCGAAGCCTCTGCACCCATCTTGCTGCTTCTAACGAGTACAAGTTGGAACACTTGAAGCAGCCACATATCTGGTCCCTGGTTGACAAGGCTAAGGTGTACTATGTTGGCGGTTACCATTTGACTGTCTGCGTACCGGCTATCCTGGCATTGGCTGAAGAGGCCTCTGCAAAGAACAAGGTGTGTATCGTTTATTCAGCGCCCTGCATCTCAAAGGGCCTTTTCTTTCCCCTTCCACAGATATTAGTTTAGCTAAATCAAACACCTCTCTCATTTGACGTGATAGATCTTCATGCTTTCTCTCTCGGCCCCGTTCATCCCTCAATTCTTCAAAGAGCAGCTCGACTCCGTCTTCCCATACACAGACTATGTCCTAGGCAACGAGGAGGAGGCGCTGTCGTTTGCCAAATCTCATGGATGGGAAATTTCCGACGTCCAAGAAATCGCCAAAAAGATGGCTACATTGTCTAAGAAGAACACCAATCGCCACCGAACCGTCATCATCACCCAAGGAACCGACCCTACGATTTCTGCTGTTGCTGATGCTGATGGAAATGTTCAAGTTAAACTGACACCGGTCCATGCCATCTCGAAACATGAGATCAATGACACAAACGGTGCTGGGTAAGATTTACCCTTACAAGCTATAAGACGTTGTTGGTCCTAGGTGGTAGCAGTACACTAATTCGATTTTTCAATCCTTGGATAATTAGCGATGCCTTCGCTGGTGGCTTCTGCGCCGGTATCGTGGGGGGCAAGAGCGTCGACGAAAGCATCGATATGGGCCATTGGCTTGCCGGACTCAGTATTCGAGAATTGGGCCCATCGTAAGTTTTACTGCTCCGTAACTGCTCCGAAGCGCGAGTTTTGGGCGAAGTTACACCTTTCCCTCTCACTTTCAAAATTATAAACACTGACCCATGCATCCCTCCTATCAGCTATCCATTCCCGAAACAAGTTTATAAACCCTCATAGAAAGCGCCGATTCAGCGAGGCTAAAGAGCACACAACAAAAAATATTTTCACTTCTCCCTCTTTGACTCATCAGCAGTTCTTTATTCTCTATTATCTCCAATTCATTGAAAAGCCCACAGGCTCAGCCCCAGATACCCGCCAATACCGTAACGAAACCCCTCTTATCACAATAAATACTCAGAGATCTCAAGTCTTCACCCTCCCTTTTCCTTTCAATGCAGCTTTTGAAAAAATTATTATCAACACGTATCAGCAAAACATTCAACCCGCTGGTAATTTCGATCTGGCCATACGTTATTTGAAGCGACCCAGGGCCATATATCCTCGTAAGGCCAAAGAGTCTGCATTCCGGTGTTTCCCGTTCAAGATTCAACCTTTCCTTATTTATTTTTATATTGAATCCTTTATACTTTCCCATTTCTTCCTGGACCCCGGACATGAGGTGTTTTGGTGTGATGGTGAAACATGGAGAAGAGTGAGCAACAAACAAAGAAGATTCAAGAGTTGATAGATCAAAAAAGCAAGAAAGGGGGGATGGGGGAATGAGGGAGAAGGAGGGGTGTTCATAGAATTACACGTTTTCAACAACGCTATAAGCTTCTCATTTTCTTTTCTTTTCTTTTCTTTTTGAAACGCGGATGGATCTCTCTGTTTCTTGACAATTATATATGATTCCTTGGGTGCAACATGGTGACCAGATGGAAGCAGACGGACGAACCTAACTAATGGATGACATTACCGAAATACAGAGAATGATCCGTGTTGTATCTATATATACCCATGAAGTGAAGAAAATAACAATTTATATAATTCTGAACAACGTAAGTTAAAACGACAAAATCAAATCAAATCTGCCAGCCTTGTAAAATACATCACTGTATATTAAACTATTATGAAAGAGAAGAAAGCAGACAGAAAATGTTTAAAAGGAGTAATGAGCAAAAAGAAAAAAGAATATTCAAAATATGTTACGTATGTATATGCGAAGAGTTTCCTTCAGGAGAAGCCTTGCAAAAACTAATAAAGCCAGAGCATGGTGTACATGTATTGATTGAATAGATAGGCGCAGCACGAAATAAACAATCCATCCATGCAGCCAGCGAAGCAACAACCGGGTGGAGAGGTGAAAAAAAAAAACGCTCTTTAACGAAATCCAATGAATGGCGAAGGCTCCATCCATGGCTGTCAGGCCTACGATCACATTAAGACAATTCTACACCACATTTCACGGGGATGTGTCTCGGTCTATTGCACTGATCCCCCCACCCCCCCCCCCCCCCCGCGACGATGAGCCCTGCATCTAATCCGATGAAAGAAGGCCTGGGACGGTGAGGTGTGTCTTGGGTAGCAGGAAAGCAAACTAGCCCCGGGTTGGTGTCACCCCATTCGTATCAGTCGTGTTGAGGATTTGCTTTTGGGGGCAAGGGAAAGGAGCCCAGCAGAGATAGACAAAGGTCTCATTTTGGATTTAGTTTTCGGAAATGCAATCGCAATTTCTCACCGTTAAAACACTGCTGCGAGGGAATGAGATGGGTGCTTCTGGAGCTGTTGCTGGTGAATGACTGATAGGCGCCGTAGTCCTCGTTAGTGACTGAATGAAGAAGCCATGGAGTTCGTGATGAGAAAAACATTAACTAAAACCGGCGAGTTGACTTTTTCGAGGCAATGTCCCATGGTAAGCCGAAATTTCTTACATGGTCCTGTCCTATCTTAGTGAGGAGACAGGCTCGTCGTAGTAGTAGCGTAGAAAGCTGACTAGCCAGCATGCAGGTTGCAATGGAGGATTAAGCCAAGATTCACATTTTGAAATTATCCGATTTCCCCAATCATTTCACCAACCCGAATAAACATACCCGACGATAGTGTGGCACGCCCTCGCTGATCTTCCTTGCCTGCCTACATCGTTATCATCGTTTCTCCAAGCAAGGGCGAAATGGAAAACAACACCCTTCGACTCTTCGCTTTCTCTCATCCCTATGTGATAAATAGGTAATATATCCCGTTTATTGTGCCACAAAAGAAGACATTCCTAAAATAGGTCATCCGCCACTCCCCTGTCCACTGGGCGGTGTCTGGCCAATAACGCCGGCACCCAAATGCGATGCTTTAGAGTTCGCACTAGAAACTGAATTGTAAGACGAGTACTGATAGTACGGACTTCCCGGCTGATTAGGTCCGCGCTGCTTGTACTGGAGAGTAGCATTGTTCAAAGGCCAGTTGAATGGAAGGCCTGGTGGTGGATTATGAGTGGCATAACCGCCTCCACCATCGTTATTATAGGAAATACTTGGCGTTTGCATCTGCGTTGGCGATAAGTTGCTTGTTGGATATGAATAGTCATTGGGCGTGGACGGGGCTTGTAAGCTGTTTTGGAAACCTATCCCGTACTGTTGTAGTCGTGAGAAATCTTGGGCCTGGGGGAATCCTCTGTTATTATTTGCGTAGAGGTTCGGATGATATTGTTCGCCTTGCCTGATGGCGGTAGAAGGACGGGTTGCTGGGGATATGGCCTCACCTGGTTGAGGCGCAAATGGGGTATTTAGAATACTTGGTAGGGTGGGGCGGGGTGAGTATGATTGTGGGGGTAGAGGCTCAATGATGGGGCTGTACGAATTGAGGGTTCCGGTTCCAGTTCCAGTTGCTGTGCAATGACCGTTGCTAGAGTGTTCGCCACTGCCGTCTTGTTGAGAAGCTGTATTGTGGGTATTGATGTTAATCATGTTTGCGTTGTGCCATGCCGTGGATGACGAGAGGGTTCTTTCAATTGGTGGACAGTTCTCATTTGTCTCCGATTCGACAAGTTTGTCAACCATCTGGTTCATGGCGAGGGAGATGGATGCTGATGCTGATTGGGAATTGGCATATTCCATTGGCTCCTGGTTAGATTCAGGTGGGTGAATGTCTTCGCGGTCTACGCTAGTTGACGAAAGAGTATGTCTGTGTTGATGCCCGCTTGGGCTCGAGAATTGAGGGAGCCCTTCTTCTTTATAGACGAATAGTTTTGTCTCATTACTATCTGCTAGAATTATGGGGATTTTCTGTAGACAATGATTTAGTTCACGTCTCCAGAGATAGGTAGATAGATATATTGGCAGGGGAAGAGGGGAGAATGAGAAGCAAAGAAAAAACATTACCTCCTGGACAACCAAATCAAGACCATCAATCACAAATTCACGGACGCGAAATAGCATCTCAATATGAACGGGCAGTTTCTCCTCGAGATCACCAAGTCTGGGTTTTTTCTGCCCACACTCATCAACATATCTTTGCCACGTTATATCATTAACGAAGGGACTAAACCCGAGTGTATCTTCATCTTCATGAAGAAGATACCCGATGTCGGAAAGGCTTGGCACGTCAAAACTAGAAGTAAGTAGATTTAAAGTGCTCGCGTACATTTTCCAAAACTCTTTGATCTGCACACATAGCAGAGTATCCTTATCTTCACAGACCAAAGAGCCGCTATTCGAAAGCAACCAGGAGCTATATTGTCGCAAGGCAGGCAAAACAATTTGCGCGACGGGAGTGATTTTCTCAGACTCGTTTGCCGCAACTGAGCATTCAAGCTCGGAAAGCAATATCTGTAAGAGAGTGAAGAAAGTCTTCACATTAAGTCTCTGGAAAAACTGCCTAGCATCGCGTGCGGGCTGTACACCGTCCACATCTTTTTCCCGGTTCGTCCACCTGGCATTTGCATAGTCTTCAGCAGCGATGTTTATTAAACAAAATTTCTGCAATAGAGGCGGGTGCAAAGAAAGCTCTTTGAGATCAACCGCCATTTGACTGAGGATCTCATTTTCGAGTTCATCATGCTCTGGAAAATCTACCCCCTTGTAGCACTGGGCATGTAGGTAGATGAACATTGAAATTAGCGTGGCCTTCCCATCCTCTGAGCTTCCGATAGACTCCCCCTTGGCACAAGCTGCTAACACCTTTCTGAATTCGATTTCTAGATTCCCGTTGGACGTCGGGTATGGCTCGCGGGCAGATAAGGCGCGGTATAGATGATAAGTTGCTTGCAGATGGTTCCCATCCGCAAGCCCAATAACAGCTAGCTGGTTGTGAGACATCCCAGAGTCTGGATTAAGAGTATCGGCCAATTTGTAATATCTGATAGCACAATCCCAATTTCGATTCTTCGTCGGCGGAACCAGTTCCATTTCGCGATAACGGGAAAGATCGCCAAGGCGGATAAGGGTTGCATGGCAGGTAAGCACAACACTGTTGCGTAGATCTTCCGGAATTTCAGGTTTATCTTCTGCGGAGAGAGCTTTTCATACGAAAGTCAGCGACGCGGACAATTTGGCAATGTATTCGACTATCCTTCCCATGGTGTATATCTTACTCTCAAATTTAAGCTCCTTGGCTAATTTCTCCAGTTCCGGGATACAGTTGAATCGCGAAACAAGATGTTGGATGTAGCCACGGTAGAAGCGCTGACTCGATTTGATAAAGTTCAAATAATGGCTTTGCAGCTTCCGATTTTCAGTGGGTCTCTTTTTCTGTGCGCTTTGATCACGGAACTGGTTCGGGAGAGAGAGTATCAACAGAACTGAATGTCTAACAATGTGAAAATTTATTCAATAGGGATCAAACCTACACGAGATAAAAGCTTGCGAAACCGTGTGTTGATCTTCACATGCATATCCCATAACCGGCCTTCGACCTGCAGAGATGTGCTCTCCGTTCCCAGCGTTTTATTTTTTTCATCGTTCTGCTGCACTCGGGTCTCGAAGCAGTGGAATACGGTATTTTGACATGCGATGCGGAATCTGCGGACAGCGGAACCAAGTATATCAGTGTATGCCCTCCCAGCCAGCTCCTCGGTTATATGTGTAAAAGAGATCAAGGGTGACTTATGCAAGCGGATAGCGGACGTACTTAGCAAGATATTCGTTGACTTCAGCAAATGTCGGTTCCTTTTCAGAGAGAACCCTCAAAAGATCCTTTTCACCGTCAAGTTCGAGGCTAAAGTTATCCAAGAAAGAACTGACAGTAAGCATCCGGCCATGTTATCTTTATCTCATTTTTCACGTCCTCCAAAAAAAGTAGAATTCAAGGCAAAAAAGTGCGGTTGGCGAAAAACAAGAGCCTCAATCTATCTCCACCACCCATGTATGTTTGTTTATTCCTTGCTGCGGGCAATGAGCCACTCACATCTCAACAGCATTGTCACCATACTGTCCTCCCGCTGCCATCGCCTGAAACTCTGCCAACTCTCTCTGGATGGATGATCAGAAGAGTAAAAGCTGCTGGAAATCCACCAAGAAGCAGACACTCAAACGGGGGATTCCTCCACCAGCCAAAAAAATAACGAGAGGAGCAAGTTTGGAGTCAAAATATGTGGCCTTCTCCCCATCAAGAAGACGCAGGGTGCGCACGGTGTCCCCGTTTTCTCGTCCTTTTTCCCCTTTGTCGTACTTCCCGGCGCGTGCTCTTCCCTTCGCTCCTGCGCTGTGCTAAGTTGGGGTCAGATAAGGGCTTGTCGCGAATCGTCGGAGGGTTGCCAGGACGTCGCAGGACTCGAATCCATTGGGGAGCGCGAGCTGGACGAATGGAAGGGATGGGAATGGGGAGGGGGGAAGAATGTAGATAGGTGGCGGAAGAGAGATGGGCCTACTCTCTTGTGGGAAGTGAGAGAAAGCCGCCGATCGAGAGTTAGGATAGTTGTGCTAACAAGAGCCAACCGTTGTTGCATCGATTTAAATGACTGGAAGGGATGGTAGTGCCGAACGCCACCGCCTTTGGAACAGGATGCGATCAAAAAAGTAGTCTCACACTAAGAAATTCAAACTGAAATATTCATACCAGCATCAAGTATTGCCGTTCCATCTCTTGACTGAGGAGGTATTATATTTCAGAAGGCTTTAATGCCTGTGGCTTGCTCCCTAGCTCACTACGTCTTGCCCACCGGTCCAAGCAAAAGATCCTTTACAATACTGCTGCGTAGAGTAACTAATGGGATGTCAGTTTAGATTTATCATTCATCCGCTTAGAGGACGCTGTCAAAAGTAGTGTCTCACACTGATTTAACTACATTTCATGGGGTGCTGATAATGAGATAGAGACTGATAAGACACAAAAAATCATACATATATTGATAGGAAGCTAGTAGCCACGTAATTTCGATCCTCATATCGTTTATCTCTTGCTGGCCCAAAAAAATACCACTCATAGCTTAAAAAATTAGTAACACAAAGGGAAAACCCTTGAAACACTCAATATTTATAACTGGCTCTTAAGTCCTTTAGCAGTCAATAATCGCAGCGCCTCTGCCTTCTGCCAATTGATCTTGTTCGTCACTTCGGCCATCCGCTGCTTATTCTCTCTCTTACCCATCTGCTGCAGGTGAACCTCATCAGGGCCATCAGCCAGCCTCAATGTGCGGATACCCGCCCACATGGATGCCAGTGGCGTATCCTGACAGACGCCCATGCCGCCATGCGCCTGCACCGCACGGTCAATGACAGCCAGCGCCGTCTGTGGCACAAGCACCTTGGCCTCCGCAATCTCCCTCAACGCGCTCTTGGCATCACCATTATCGATCATGATCGCGGCATTCAGCACGGTGAGACGTGCAGCGTCAATCTCAATGCGGGACTTGGCGATCCATTCGAGAATGACGCCGTGGGAAGACAGGACAGCGCCGAAGGGCTTGCGCGACTCATCGTTGGCGCGGGCGATGAGGTACTCGAGAGCTCTCTCGGCGGCGCCGATAGCGCGCATGGCGTGGTGGATGCGGCCGGGTCCGAGGCGACCTTGGATGATCTCGAAACCACATCCCTCACCGAGAACCACGCTGGAGACCGGTACGCGGACGTTGTTGAAGGAGACGTGGCCGTGGCCGTGCGGGGCATCGTCGTAGCCGTAGACGGTCAACATGCGGTGGACGGTGATACCTGGTGTATCCATAGGAACGAGGACGACGGATTGTTGTCTATAGGGGTCCAGGTTGTTGGTGTCGGTCTTTCCCATGACAATTAGGATTTTGCATCTTGGGTCACCGATTCCAGAGGACCACCATTTCTGTTTTGGAGCCGGGTAGGGGATATGTATTAGATTTTCATAGATTATTGAGTAAGTTAAGGTGACGCAGAGCGTACCTGGCCATTGATGACGTATTCATTGCCCTCTCGTCGGATATCGAGCTTGATGTTTGTAGCATCGCTGGACGCAACATCTGGTTCTGTCATGAGGAAAGCAGAGCGGATCTTGCCCTCTAACAGAGGCACGAGCCATTGCTTTTTCTGTGCCTCGTTTCCATACTTGGCTAATACCTCCATGTTTCCAGTGTCTGGAGCCGCATTGTTGGTAGCCTATTTTGTATTCAATCGGAATCAGTTTATTGATTCAAAAACGTAAAATGGAATGAAAACGAACAAACTATTCCTTTAAAAATGAAGAAGAGCGCTGAGAAAGGGCTCGCAATATAGCAGCATACCTCACTGGCAACCCGACTTCGGCCCAGATATTCCGCCATCAATCCGTACTCCAAGTTACTGAAGCCCGCGCCCTCCTTGAAATGGTTCTTGGGCAAAAACATATTCCACAGCCCCAGCTTTCTGGCCTTGGCTTTCAGCTCCTCGAGGATAGCAGGAGTAGCGGTCCATCGCTGGGCTCCCTCACCCAGTTCAGCTTGGAAAACGGAATCAGCGGGGATGCAGTCTTTCTCAACGAATTCTTGGACCTGAAGCAAGCAGCCTCAGTCAGTATGGAGCTTGGCCGGTTAAAAAGGATGTCTCAACCGAGAGTATTTTCATTCACCAGGGCACTGGTGTTTGATCGGGCAACCACGGGACTTCGAATGATTTATTTTAAAGGATAGCACATACTAGATCCAGAGTCTGCTTTGCACGCTCACTGACAAACGGCAGCGCAATTGGGGGGATTTTGGAGGAAGCCGACATGGTTGCACTGAATATGTAGTCGACGGGAAGAACGAAGATACGGGACGGGTTTGTTTGCTAAGAGGAAATGAGGATGACTCAAGGCACGGCTCTGAATCTGGGGGACGCCAGCGTATATAAAGCAGACACAGATTTGGCCTAGAGCAAACTCGGGGGAAAAACTTGTATCTCGATGTGCTGGTGGTGGAGGGCTTATCCGGCCGTAGGAGACACAGAGCCTCGGCTGTCGAAGCTGGCCAGCGCCGGTGTGCCACAACTAGCAACAAAATCAATCGGTCTTGATAGTTGGAGTGGAATTGAGAAAGACAGGTCCTCTTTATTTATGAGTACGTTTGTCGAAGGCATAAAGGAGATGACAATAGGGTTTATTTTTCTGCTAATTACTATGTGTGTGAGCAGCTTACTCGTTGTATACAAGAAGCTCATGCCCGATCCCGGATTTTGAGTTCGGATGATGCAAAATAGTTTGCTCGGCGCTTGCTCGGGAGTCGGCTTTATACCAACATCCGATGCTAAATTTAAATGTATCACAGAAATAGAATCTGATAAGGAGGTATAACAACATTTCTCACCCCTAGAATAGCCGGTTTATACAAATTGAGAAGAGGTATCTTCAAAGGATGATGGAGACCGATTCCGTGGAAGCTTGGGCGAACATGAGATAGAGTTTGAACGCGACCATCCAAACCGTCGTAACTGAGGTGGGCGCAAAATCAAGCATGAATATTTGCTACGAGTACTTGCCATCATAACCTATAGATTCTATCTCAGAGACCCCGGATCAAGCAACTTTCTCATTGTCCAGATGGCAAAGTGGCTAAAATTGATACCTGATCGGACGGAATAACATTGTGAATGTATGTAAACTAGATGGATTTGATACTATCATAGGCATGTTGTCAATTAGCAGGCCCAAATGCTACTTCTATCCACGGATATCAAGTCCTTCCTGAGAGATCTAACACCTTCGGACAGTAGGATTTCCCGGCCCACTCAGCTCAAACCCACCACGTAACGACCCTGCGCGATGGGGCCGGTCAAACCTGAATAGGGGGAGCCGGGGAAGAGGGGAAAGAAGTAAAGAAAAAAGAAGAAACAAATCCCAATCCATTAATCATAATGTCGTGTCCTGTTTAGTACAGTAGTATCTCTATGGTCTTTAGAAAACGCCATGGTTCCCTCCTTGCCTCCAACCCAAAAAAAAAAATGAAAATGAAAAAAGAAAAGAAAAGTACAGGCTTGTTGAGTCAGGTCGCTTCAGACCATAGGGCATTGTGTGATATGAAGGCTGATGAAAGAAGCATCAGAAAGGGGAAACAAAAAGGAGAAAAGCGAGAAAGAGAGAGAATGTAAATATACATGTACAAAAAGTTAAGTGCAAGGAGTGAAAGAAAAAGGAGGCATCCGGCGACAGTAGAAAAATACAAGTTGATTAGTGAGGCGGTCCCCAATTAGAATCCGCACTTGCGAGAAGGGGGAGTTTAGGAATAGGAAAAGGCTAGGTTTCGGGTATTCCCTGATAGTCACATATTTTTTTCTCTCTAAAATCATGACACTCTCTTCTGGCGGTGCTGTTGATCCTATTTTGAATTCAACTTTCATCTTTCTTCTCAACGGGCTTCTTGTTGATAGCCTTTGCGAAGAGAGTTTGTGGTTTGCCGGCACTATTTCAGAGAAAATAGGCATGTTAGTTTTGTTTGCTCAAACTGAACCAGCTCATTAAGGGTAGATAAGACAAGGGTAACTATACTTCTTATACCGTTTTCCCTTCAAGTCACTCAGCTTCTTGGTGCACGGGCTCATGATTCCATCAGAGGGAGAGATATAGTGTCCCTTCTCACTATTTTTTGGAGGAACAAAAATTTTGAATTAGTTGATTGTCAACTCAAAAGTATCCCGGCTGAGAGCCACAAACGCGCGGGTATGAACATACCTCTTCCCGTTCTCCAGCTTCTCCTTCAACACTTGTCTGTGATATTCCATCGACATTACGGTTGCAGCTTTAAGGTCTGCGCTGCAGTCTCCAGTTGTCATCGGAGGCGCCACTCCGGCGGGAACCGTGTTCGAGAGGAGGATGTTTGTGGAACGATCCGCGAGGGGAGTAGTCTTTGATGGGCTTGTGGGATTAAGTTCCATTGCTGTTCGACTCTGATAAGAAGTAACTTGATTGAAACAGGAACTGGCGTATTCGGATCAGTGGATTGCAGCCCAAGAGTTTTCTCGGGGTGTTCGTTGTTGCAATGCGATTTTTTTTCTCTTTCAGGTAAACGGACGAGTGATAAACTGAAATTGGGTTTTATTTGGTTGCGGAAACAGCAGGGGTGAAAAAGCAAGGCCAGAGAAATGTGAATTTGCTAATGTTGGTATAAAGACAACAAGTGAACAAGTGAACCGGTAGTTGATGGTGGTCTTATATGTCGATAATTTTTATTTATTTTGATCAGCTTGAAAGCAGAAAGGCTGCCTCTCCCTCGCCTCTCTCCGTTTTCTTTGCTAAAAAGAAATTTGGAATGCAACTTTTCAAAGCAACGGCAAGGAGTACACAGTAAAATGAGCTTAAGCTTGTTCCCTGTTCCCGGTCAATAATTAATGGCAATTGATGCTGAAGATAAAGAGTAAGCAGCGGCACTTATTTTTTGCTGTTGGTTATCGTCCGATAGTTACCATAGCAACCGCCACATCTCAACCTACAAAAACTCTCGATCGACGTCAGACCTCTTCCACGGTGTGGAGATTCGCATCTATGACTCACCAATTTATTATTGCTAAATTCAAATCCGCCCCATTGTCCCGGGAATCCTGGAGCAACCCTGTCTTCGCAAATGCCGTGTCAATTGTGGAGTCAGTCAGGGATGGTGAGCTAGAGGAAATGACATGCTTACAGTGCTCAAAACAACAAACTCTTGACAACCAAAACAATGAACAAAGAGGACCAGTACAATTGTGTCCGAAAGAGAGCTAGACTTGTATCCATGGGACCATAAACTATGTTATTCGATGTTGCCTCCTGGTTGCCATGCTATTGCCAACAGCAAATTTTAAAAACCAGAGAGGATTGGCCTCCCTTATTTTGTATTGTTGCTGAGAATCGAAAGTTGTCAACCAGGTAAAGTTAGGAAATAGATCCTCTTGATCGGGTAACTAGATATAAATTCATAAACGGATAATTCTGTGCTACTGCGCGCACATTCTTGTTTCTATCCTTTGTCTCACAGAAACACATCCCTCTGTCATCAATAGCTGAGTGAAACAAGATGGACATCACAGGATTTTATAGATTATATATATCAAACATTCGCTATGCAACATAGCTACAAACAATTTAACTTAATCTCTTTAATTCTTTCAGAGGCATGGGGAAAAAAATTATCGCCAAATCACAAACACACACACACACACACACACACACACACACACACACAAATATATACACATATGGTACATATGAGACAATGACAAGGAAGGGGAATATTAAAATACATTACTCATTCAGATCGTCAACATAACATAACCATAACATCCAAATCCGTTCTTCCTTCTGGTAGAACCAACACGCAGATCTCCCTGGGAGTATTATTCCCATTTATCCTTTAGGTAGATGGAAGTAAGCGTGGTCCACATGTAAGGCGCATATGCTCATAATGATTACCTCACCACCACAGCTGACTTCCAAGCGCATCGTTCATAAAGGAAGACTGCAAGAAAATTTCCCAGGGTAGAGGTGGTTTTTCTTCCTGTAATGCCGTTGCTGGCAAAACGGCAGTCCAAGTGGACTCGGAATGGCCTGCCTTCAAAACAATTTGTTTTCGAAAGGCGCTAACTAACAACAGCCAAAAGCGAAGATGATCTCTCTCACTTTCGTGTTTCAGCTGTCTCATCTGTAACTTGTCTCCATTAGAATAAGGAGGAGATTTAAGTCACTCGAATTCTGCATTCGGCAAAACTCCAATAACATTGGTACATCAAGGGTCACAGAGCATTCCCTACAGGATACCCCGCGGGTGGGGTTACTGCTTTTGAATGGCTATTTCTTCTTGTCCCACACGGCGATGATGAGTTCGAATGAGTAACTCAAATTCTGCCTTCATGGTGTTTACCAGTTAGATCAACGTCCCGCATTGTCCATGGCGCTACAAAATATCTTCTCGCAAGCATGGCCCCTGGAGAGGCGTGGCTGAGCTAAATCAACGGATGCCTCCTGAACGATATGTTGACAATCTCGGAGACGAGCTCATATATAGAGACACCTGTGGCGTGCAAGGTCGGAAGGGTATGCGGGATGAGAAATATCAAGTCATTTCTCCCAGCATCAGTCTGTCAAAGGGGTTTCTTCTCCCGCCCCACAAGCCCTTCATCAAGTGGACAACTGCGGAGCTTCTGACGAGGAACCCCCGTCAGACCCTTCACAAGATTCACATACGTCTGGCGGACTACTTTCAGACCTGAGGAACCGAGCCTGGGGCGCTACCACAACGCTGCTCGACGTGGAGTTCGTTTGCTCAGAGAGTCGTCGACGCAATTCGTGACCGCCGCTGTCAGATGTCGGAGTTGGTGGCGAGTAACAGATGGTTGGATTTACCGCCAAGTCGTCTTCCCTGGATTCCATGGAGTTGGTGCGTGTATGACTGCTGGAGACACGCTTGTTGTCCTGGTAGGGCGAGTTGGGCCGCGAGAGAGGACTCGCAGAGGGTGTTTCGAATGAATGAGTTGAGGAGCGGAAACTCTGGGAACGGGAGACCATGTTATGAACACGGGGGAGTTCGAGATAGCTGCCTATCGGGGAACTGGAGAAAAGGACAAGGCCGAAGCAGATGAGGACGAAGACACTTTGGATTATTGAGATGCGTTTTTGGAATACGAGTTCATCAGCCAGGACTCCCAACTGGCTGCTCATAGCGAAGACCTCCTGACGATACTGTAGTCGTTGCTGTTCAAATTCAACGGCAACGGAGTGCCAGACCTGGTCGTATTGGTGGCGGAATTCTCGGAGCTCTTGCAGCACTGATGTGTTTAAGTTTTCGAGGAAGGTGGTGGTCTTCGCTAGCTGTCGTTTTTCTACTTTGTTAAATGCATCTCGTAGGATACGTGACTGTTCCTCAATATACTGTAATGAGAGTGAGGAGTTCGTCTCCAACATATGCAAACGCTTGTTAACGGATTTGAAAAAGGATTCTTGGGTCGTTGGATTAGGTTGATGGTACTGAACTGTGGTAGAGGGTTTGGGTGACTCAGATGAACCATTATACTCTGTTTTGTGCGTGTTGGAGGACGTCTCGTTTTCGGTTGGTTTTTGAGCACGCGTGTCAGTTAGTGTAGGTGTGGATACAGGGGTAGGAGGCGTAGCTGCATTTGACGATGGTTCAGCACTGGGAGTTGTCGGCGTCGCGTTGTCCACAGCCTGAGCAGGGCCATGAGACTGGACCAAATCTGGCTGAACTGCATCGTCCGTTCGGTTATAGGCACGAGGCGTCTCATGGACAGTGCACATTCTATCTTCCGCTCTGACAACACTGCGCAATAAAATTCCCCCAACCTCGGCATCCTTCAGGAGACAAATATCCTCCAGATTCTGAACGCGAGTTGGTTGCATGTCAAATCTACCGGCTTCGGCTGGGCCCTCGCTATCCTCAACAATCTTGCTCGGATCGGTAGTGGAATTATCTGGACCAGATTCCGGCGTTCTACTGCCCTGAATCTGGTGTGAGTTGTGGTCTTCAAGGCGATTGGCTTCTCCATCGTTCTTGTACTCCTCCAGCATCGTCGTACCATGAACCCTAATCAAACTAACAGGACAATAAAATTCGTTACCGTAATGAGTCAAGAATTCAATCTTCACATATCGCGCCCAAATGAGGGGGTTCTCGACTGCAAAGGCTTGAACCTCTCGGGAATTAACTGCCTCGTATGTGCCCAGTTCCTTCCACATATCAGGCTGTTTGGGAGGATACCGATCAGACACGCTGACTCTGAACGTGCGAAAGATCGAACTGAAAAACTCATAGTTGGCAAGAACAATAGTATCGATCAAAATGTCATCACAGAGCTCGAGTATCAAGAATTTCTCCTTAGCCCTACACTCGTTTAACATATAACTATCCTTATTTTCGATGAGAACGGATGAGGCGCCTGTGCATTGGGGATTGGTCTTTAGCACGGTGGCGGCACAATCAAACGATGCATAATTAAATCGCTCCTTGCACGTAGTCCCCGCATCTTTTCTCCTAGAAGCACCCCCACGAGTAGTAGCTTCAATCTGCGTTTCCCCTTCCGCGCCTTTCGTCACCGAACCAGCCCCATCGACATCTGGAGGCTGATCTTTCCCAACTTTCCTTTCCCATGACGCAGGCCCAGAATCTTCAGGCCCAAATCCACCGAATTCCAAGGCAATCTCTCCGTCTTCACCAAGGGAATCCAAAGAATTATCGATCCCCGTGGGACGCTGACGCTTTCCGTCACCGGAAGATCCAGCACTTTGACGATCACCCTTAACATTTTCTACCGATTGACCCACTTTCGCCAAGTTCTGCTTCTTCCACTCTTCAAAGGAAAGGAAATTCGCATTATCAAGAGGCGACTCCGTATCTAACTCCTGGTCCACACTACTTGATCCTGATCCTGATCCAGTCACCGTTATAGTTGGCGAAAGCGAGGGCGAAGCCGCAGAGGTGATCGACGCGTAAAAATCCGTTTCACCAGATGAATTAGATGTATAATTTTCGATCTTCCCAATGCCCACCCATCTGGGCTCTAAGCAGACAGGGTGCTGGATACCGGAGAAGGCTCTGGGGGGACAAGTTGCGTCCAATGAAAGTGGGCTAATATTATGATGCTTGGAATCCATATCCCCCCCAGCTCGCACAGCAGCAAGCAGAGCAATAGTCCAAAAGTATAGCAGGCTGTCAGTAGCTCGACATTCCATATGGACGTGGCGCCGGAAAAGAGGGAAATGCCAGGCCATATTTTATCAATGAAACACACGTAATTTCACGGAGGAGGAAATGAACGAAGGGTTTTAAAATAACCGGCCGCAAAAACCAAGCTTCAAAATACCTATTATGTGAGAAATATCTGGTTACCAGTAGTTCTTCGAGAAGCGCCAAACAACCCCTTCAAGGAGAGCGTCCTACCATAGCAATGGCAGTAAGAGAGGAAGGGAAACCCCTGAGACATAAATCTGACCTTGCTCAACGTCCAAATTCCCCGCGACAGATTCGTGGTTCTTTCTTGACAACTCCAGCGCCGTAAAAATTCAACAAGGATCCCTCCACGGCCAGTTCGATAGCCCATTCTTCATTTCCTAGTTATTTTCCGGTTGGATCAACAGCAATCAAAATGGCATTCTGCGATATCTCCTAGCCGTCTATGAGTCGCTGCGCAGGGCTTTTTCTCGGCGCTGGACCCTAAAAGGAGAGGTCGAGGTCGCAAACGATAGGTACGGATAGGACCAAAAAAGAAAAGCAACGAAAAGAAAATAAGAGGAGATGAAGAGGGATAGATTGCGCAACTAGAGTATATATGAGCGTTATTTGTCGAAAGTAAGGACGCAGAAAACCTGCTTGTTTTTGGCTCTCTGGCTTTGCCCCCGTCCAGATTTGGAAGAACCGCAGAATTGCGAACCTTGTGTCCCGGCGATTATGGTTAAGATCCAGAAGAAAGTTTGGTGGCACAAGGAACCCTGTTGCTTCTCTCCTTATTTTTCAAAGGGGACTTCACCAGATAAAGAGCTGACCAAGGGCCGGCCAGGTTTGCTGTGAGGGTGGTTGGTTACAAGGAGCATGTCAATATGGGCGAATAGGAGCCTAATGCAGAGATCAATAAGTAAAACAAAACCAACTGCTGCTGGCCGCGTGAAGACTGCAGATAAATATTTAAAAAAGGAAAATTGAAGAAACTGAGGAAATGGATTTATCAATCGTCTCTCTCGTTTCCATTTCTTGGGGTTTGATGGGCAATTTTATCTTTCTTCACCGGTGTGACCTTAACCATCGGAGTCGGTGAGCAGCAAACGACCAGGCCCGCGCCAAGTGGGACGCCAAGGGAGCCGCCACCCGCGAATTGGACAAAGCCACTCCTCTGCTGGTAAACGAGAGTACCCACAGCGTATGGAATCTCCTTACTATGTAATCTGTAGATCTACGATGATATATAAAAAGGCTCCCCCGAAAAGTTTTGACTTGCGCTAAGAATTTAAGCTGAAATGCTGATACCGGCATTAATTAAGTATTGCTGTTCCATCTCTTAATGAAAAGGATGGGGAGTCCCAGGGGGCCTAGAGAGGCCAATGCCCCTAGCTTGCCCACAAGCTCAATGCCTAAATGCCAGGTGGCGTGGCCTGGAGATTCAATCCACTAGTAAGGATATTTCAGGGTAGATTCTTAGCGTGAGAGCTGTAGTCGAGATTTGAGTGACCGCAGCAATCTCCAGAGCTTCATCCCTTTTTATATTAGACTATGCTGTCTGGAGAAATCACTGCGCTTCTCTAGGAGCTAATCTATTTCTTATAACGCCTTAAGAACTGGTGCTCTTTGATATGAATGCTCTTTTTTCCTTTGCATTAATATGCCGAGTCAATTCATCTGCTTCGATCATACCGCAAAGGATATAAATAATTTGAAATCTAGCCAGATTATCATAGAATGAATATATATTTGCAATGCCTAGGTTGGGGGCCTAGACATTCCCTGGAGGACTTAACTATGTATAGGGTACGCGCTCCAATAACAGCGGCATCCGTTATTATGTATGAGGGTAAACCTGCTATAAGAGCCCGTGCTGGTTTAACCATTACAATATTAATAGATGTGTCGGAGACAATGGATCTCATTATTATCTTGAAACCCAACCCAGTCCTTTATTATATTTACACATGCCCTTCCCTATAAATACTGCAATCCCCTCATATAACTAATTATCAAAGTCATCATTGATTCTTATAATTCAATGGATATTCAGTAATTTGGGGCAATCTTTGGACATCGATGGTCCGTTCCTGACAAGATGAAAACTAATAAGATAATTTGTAAACAGTAATGATTTCTGTATTTGAATTCAGTCTTTTATGGTATCTAGATGAGGGAACGATACTTGTGTGTCATTTATTGAAGGCTAATCCTCATTAAGCATATGCACGCCGAAGGGAACTTGACTTGCTATACAGGCATTGGTCTCGAGGCCGGGGTCAAGGAGATGGTAAGAACACGATAACGCAGGAAAAGCAGAGGACTGGAAGGGTTAAGGCACGATTTCTCCACTACAGTAGTCTCAGATTTCATGATTATATTATTCTAGGCTACTGGGGCAAAAGAGCTCGTTCCCCACCAGCGCCATGTAGGTAGTCTAGGGGGCGAACCAATCCAAACCCTTCTAACTAGTTGGATGTTGGGATATCACTGTTGACTTGGTGGAAGCGGGCGCTAAGTTGGTTGGATTATCCTGTGGGATGGTTGATCTTGTTATTGTTGTGGTCGCTAGCTAACTATATAGGGGTAATCACATGCGGTGGAGGGCCACCTGGGCAACTAGTGCCCAACACCCCCCCACACGCCAATGTGCATGATGTGTTCCTACAAATATTCCATGCTAACTATCTTAACCTAGATCATTTCAAAAACATGCTATATACAGAAATTTAATCATTCTCACTGTTGTCAGTAAAAAATCCTAGTAATTTAATGAAATATCTAAATATCACTGTGCTCAGAGATTTGATTAATCCATCTGCTACTATATTCTCAGTGAAAATATAATTAATTGAAATAATATCTTTATTCAGTTGTATGCAAGAATAGTGGAAGCAAGTATCAATATACTTATTATATACTGTGATTATAGTAACAGTAGTTAAATCAATCAAATCTTTATTATCTGTTCTGATAAATAAGAGATTCTTTGCTGTAATAAATTTTAATTTTATCATTATATTATATAATTATATTACTTTATATACTGCTTCACTGAGTGCTATATATTCTATTTTATTTGAATTTAAAGAAATACAAAATTGTTTGAATAAACATTATGAAATTGATATATCTACTAACTTAAATATAAAGTTTAAAATAAATTTATATTCACTATTCAACAGTTCTACTCAATCTGAATTTATATAATCTATCAATAAATATAATATATTAAGAAATTCATTAATCTTATTTTTAAAATCTTTATATAAGATATCTAGATTGCTCATTTCTTTTAGATATTATATAATACAGAGAAGAGCTTTTTATATTTTAGATATAGACACAGTATTCTTCTGTATTAATAGAGATGCTATTTATATAATATCTGAATATAATTTGACTGTCAGATACTGTAAATACTCTACTTTATATTAATATTATTCTTTAATAAACTCTTCTTCTTATTCTAATACAGAGACATTGTCTATTTTTATTTTCTCAAGTATTAGTATAAAAATAGAGACAGTATTATCTAAACAGAAATCTTGTATTAAACAATTAATATAATATCTTAATATCAATTTTATAATATTATTGAGATGATATTCAATCTTTATATTCAAGTATTTCAAAGATTCTTTCAAATCTTTTATTTTTAATTTATTGATAAGAATATTAATTAGTCAATCAGCATTTGTCAAATCTTCTACTATAATATAAAAATTATTTATATAGATTATTATATAAAAATAATTGTGAGATATATAATATTATAGAGCAGAGTTGTAGAGGCTAGATTTAAAATCATTTTTATAAAGTAATATTATAAGAAAATTATATTAAATTTTAGTAGTAGAGTTTAATCTGTATAGAGAGTCTACAACAGTATAAATTATTATATATAAAATCTTCATCTCAAATTCAGTAGATTGTTATATATAAATCATTTTATTAAATCAGCTGTACAGATAGATTATAATTATATTAATCTGATATAAAATTCAATCTCACTTCACTGCTATTATAAATATTATATAATTAATAGTATTATTAACAATAGATGTGTATATTTCTTTATATACACTTTTTTTTAATCAATTGCTGTATATTATTTATCAAAATTTTTATAATATATTATTAAAATCTGTATTGAAATTCTGAAAGTAATTTTTTTTAATATAAACTCAATAATCAGAAATCACTGATTTATTAAAAGAGATATTAGAATATAAAATTATTATTCAAATATTTCTTCATTTCAAATCTATAATTTTATATTTTATTGATTTTTATCAATATTCATCAACTCTCTCAGATCTACTAACAGTATTTTTATATTCTTTTAAAATAAAATTAATAAAAAAAGAAGAAATATAGATGATAAATATTTTCACTGATTTTATTTATTCAATATTGATTAATTCAGAAACAATAATATTATTAATAAAATAAATTACTGAACTTGCAGTTTCAGATATTATATAATTAGTATTAATCTACAGAGTTGTAGATTTCTTTACAGAGAAAATAATATTATTAATAATAATTATTTTATCAGTTATAGAACTTCAGAAACAGTAGATTAAGTTATTATAGAATTTTATAAATTTAAATATTTCTACTCTAATAAACAGCTTATCAGTAGATTTTTAAAATTTATAAAAATATATATAAATATCAATATCTAACTCTCTAAAATAATAAAATTAAAGCAGAGTATTGATTAATACTGAGAATAAAACAGTATAGAGATATTGTATAGATTTTTCTTTAATATTAATAGATTAATATTTCTTATTATATAAAGTGATAGATATTGAAGTATTGTTGATAATTATAACTATTATTTTAAAAACATCTGCTCAGAACTTCTTCAGTATATTCATATCTATAAATACTACTCTAATATATATTATTATTATACAGATTTCTCTCTCAGAAATATTATTTTGATAAAAGAATTGAAATATAGTAGATTTTCAGATAGTGTTATTTTTGATTATTATTATTATTATTTTATTTGATTAAAAGATATTATCAATATCAGTTCTAACTAGTATCAGTAATATGAAGCTGAGATTTTTTATAAATTAAATTCAGTAAGTATAAAATTCAATAGCTTGATTTTTAATGTGTAAAAAATAGATTCATCTATAACAGATAATATTATCAGTGATAAATATATAATATTTAATTTTTTGATAAGATTCTATAGAGTAATCAGATATATTATTCAGTATACAACTACTGTCAGTAAAATCAATATAAATATATTATATTATTTACAATACTTATAATATAAAAGTTTATAAAAATTTATAGTGGTGGCGGGGTAGACTGGCCGGTGGGACCATGAATTTCACATTTGGTTTGGTTTGGTTTGGTCCCAGTCCATTTCTTGGCGTGATTTTCAGTGGGACCAGGATTAAAATGGGAGTGTAAAGGGACCAAAATTTTCAGAAATGGAGTG